AATCTATTTATTATATTGAAATTTTTAGAATTTTATTATAAAAAATTTATATTAACATTAAAATTTTGTAAATTTACGTCAATGCAAAATTCTGTAAATTTACATTAATGTGAAATTCCATAATTTATATCAATGTCAAAATTCTATTAGAATCCTGTAGATTTTTGTGAGTCCTATAATATTATGGAAATTTAACATGGTGTAAATTTTTGAAAATTTTCACCTATTAAATTTACTGATATTTTTATAGAAATATTCTAAATTATACTATGCTATAAAATTCCTTTTCAGCAATCTTCAAAACCAATTTAAATGCTTCTTTCTGATTTTATAATAACCAATTTCACATATTACAATAATATTACTGGCATAAGCAGACTTTAAAATCCATTAAAATTCTTTAACATTATTTTTTGCTTTCCTGTTCATTTTATCTAGTGCAATATTGTAATTCTAGAAATTTCTCTTTAGCAAATTTATAATATAATTCAAATGCCATGGAACCAAAAACTATAATGGATCCTTTAGAGCAAAGTAATTTATAATAATCTGAAAGCCCTTTTTTATTCTTTTCAACACCTAGGCCATCTGAATACATATTTGCAAGAGAGATTGTTGTTAATATTGTATAGCTTCTTTAATTAGAGAAGGATGTATCAGTCAAATTAAAGGATTCAAAGACCAATACCAATTCTATTAAACAAATAAACAAGTAATGAGATAGGTGACTAATAATTTCACATAGAATTTCAAATGAGTTCTTTTTATATTCTCAATCACATTTGAGACATTTCATGAAACTGTTTTTATATAAATTAATAAAAATTCAAATAAATCTTCAATAAATACATTAATATTAGCTGACACATCAACAAAAGATGAACTAGGTTTAATTTTGAATTTTTCATTTTGTCTTAGTAAAGTATTTTTATAATTTAATAAATGTTTTGAATTTAATTTATATATAACAAGTTTGATTTTCTGATTTAACAGAAATGATTTCATCTGTGATGATGTAAGGTTATAACTGAGAAGCTGCATTTTCAAAACTTGCATCAGGGATAATGATTTAAGAAAGATTCTTAACCACTTGAGAAATGTCTAGTCATGAAATTCCATTGTATTTTCAGTAATCTGTTAAAAAGTATTCATTATAAGATTAATAAATTATTATTATATATACAATATAAATGATATCTATTAATTTATAACAGTATATATTTCTTTGTATTTGGAAGATGTTTCAGGTATAGCCATTTCCCTTTTGCCTTCACAAAATTTAATAATTCAACATTTGATGATTGCAACTAGAAATTCCTAGATAATAATTCCTGAATGGAACTCTTGTTTTATCCATCATGTAGAAAATTCCTGAATCTTGATATTAAATTGAACTACAGTTATGAAATTAACTATTCTAAAAATGATTAATTTAATTTTTCCATTATGAAAATAAAATTTTTAGTAACATTAAATAATAACATTTGATTAAATAAGAAATTTAAAATATTTTTCATGCCTAGTAATTTCATATAAATTGAGAATGTTATCATGAATTTCAATTTTCATTGACTTTAACCTTGTTAGATTAAAATATAAAAACATTACGAGCAAGCAAATTCAATAATAGAAAAAATATTTTAATCTGACTTACTTCATTTATTTAATTGTTTAGTGTAAATTTATCATTCAAAGAAATGCATTTAAGAACAATTTTAAGAGTGGCTTTATAAACATCTTCACTAACCAAATTCACATTTTCAAATTTGAAACATTGATTAAGTGGGATCTTTTCTTTTTGAATAGTATCTTTAATAATCAAATTTTCCATTCAAATTTTCTGTTCTTTTTCATTTATATTTTTTGTGACATAATTAATCATTCAAAATCACAAATGTTTTATAAGACAAATATCTCCTTCTGTATAATATAACCACCTGGATACAATTCATGTTACTGAGAGGTGAGGTGTAACATATCCTGGATATTGTATATGGAACTTTATGGTATTATGAAAATTATTTATTATTATTAAAAAATATTTGAAGCTATTTGTATTACTAAGATTATTTAAAAAATTATTTATAAAAAAAAGTAATTAAGAATTATTTAAATTGTTACAAAATTATTTGTTTTATTAAAATTATTAAGAAATTCATTATTAAGGCAAAATATTATATGAATTTTAAAAATTTTGCAAGAGAGAAATCTCTCTTTCTTTTCTTTCCCATCACAGCTATTTTTATAATTTTTTTTCTTGTTTACCTTCATCTTCTGTCATCTATAAAAAAACGTTTTTGTGCCAGAATAAATAAACAGTTATCCTGAATAATGGATAACACACAAGGATTATTCATCCAAATGGTGACACCTATCATTCTCTATCATCCCCGTGACCCCAGCTATTTTCGTGCTGCCTCAATAGTATTTTTTTTCATAACGATATTTGGTAACGATCATCATAAAATGATATATACGTAATAATACGGAGATTTACGCTTAGATAAAAATCGATTTCTAAAGGCTAAAAAAGGAAATTGATAGGTGTTTTACTATAATTTCCTTTTAGATTTTTTAGATTTGACATATGATTTGTATTTGGTGCAGGAAAACATGTTTGTTCTGGAAGGTTTGAATTTTTATATTTTTAAAATTTTTAAAAAAATAAATTTATCTTATATTTTTAAATTTCTTGCCATTATGAAATTAAAATTGGTATGCATAAATTAATCTTGAATTATAATATTAAGAAAGTGAAAAGATAGATGGAAATATGCTGGACCCTTTGTTTTATCACATAGCACTGGAATAGTTTTTGAGAATAAAAGAAAACAAATAAATATCATCAGGAAATTTTTTTAGGCGTAAATTTTCGGAAATTACGCCTAAAAAAAAGCTGTTTTTTGAATTTGCTCGCGATTTACGTGACAGGGAGCGATTTTTTACTAAGATGTTTCTAAGATGGATCGAAAGTCCTGGTTCCTGACTACATGCTGACGTGTGTTTTATTCCTATGGAATTAATATTCATCAAAATATTTACTTTTAAATTCGGACGTCCGTTGTATGTAAATTTTCGAAAACCGTTAGTGTCGTAATATTACGTAAAATTATTTTCGAAATTTTTCGCGGGCGTCCAAATATAAACATAATTGTCTCGATGAATATCGAAACAGCAAGAATGAACATATATTGACATGTAGCCAGGAACCAGGACTTTTGATCCATCTTAGAAATAACATAGTAGAAAATCGCTACCTGTTACGTAAATCGAGAGCGAAGTCAAAAACGGATTTTTTGTAATGGTGTAATATTACGTAATTTTACGCCTAAAAAAATTTACTCATGATCTTTATTCAGTAAATTCAATTAACTCCTATGAAAATATACCTTTGGCATGTCATATTGTACGAATGTAATCATAAAATCATAATATTGTAATATGAATGATTAACGTTCTCGAAGATCGCTCATATGATTTATTAATTTATTATGGCATAAAATAAAGCCAAAATTAGACCTGCAAATTTAATGATCGTTTTTAAATGAATTTTACAAATTGGCAATTTCTTTCTCATGAAATTATTAAAGTATGATGATAATTCGTTAAAAAAATTATTGCTTTTCAAAAATGTATTTCTCTTTCGAAACCATTCAAACCCTTGTGGTGGGATTCATAGTTATCTATGTTATTCTTTGGATTAGGAAGCCAAGATTGAGTAAAGTAAGGAATTTTTTTTCTCCGTATTTTTAATAACTTTCTTTAATTTTGGTGACTCTTCTTTTTCCATTCAGAATGAACCTCCAATGATTCCTTATAAAATTCCAATAATTGGCCATACAATTGATTTTGTATTTAATGCCGAAACGTTTTTTTCTGAATGCAGAAAACAAGTAAATTATTAAAATAAATCATTATTAATAAAGTATACTCGTATAATCGAGGAGTTTTTTTTTTAAAAAAAAAATAATATTAAGTTAAAAAATTTTCATAGTACGGTGATACTTTCAATATTTTCGTGTTCGGTCAGGTGATTACTGTGGTTGGAAACAAAGCTCTTCGTGAAGTTTTTAAAGCCGGCGATTCCTTTAATTTGCATGAAGCTAACAAAGAGGTAAACAAAAAAGATTTATTTAACTTATTTTAATTAACAATTAGATGTATACGGAAATTATATCTTGTCTATTTGTTTATTATAGATGTTACCTGTGCATCATCTTTTACCGAGGGTAAATGGATTTAGTAACACATCACATCTTTCCAAAATGGTGCGTGAAGAAGTTACTGCGAAATTATCTTTATATACAGGAAGACTACAAGAACAACTTATGATTGCTATTAATAAGGAAATTGGGGATTGTCCTAGTAAGTCATTTTTTATGGTATATTTTTTAGGAAGATTTCTTAATAAATAATAATAATTGGTTTTATCTGTTATTATTTTTTATTAGATCCCAAAGTTATTATTAATGGAATGGATTTTTTTTCAAAAATTATTGCTCGTCCGATGGCTAATATGGTAGTTGGAGAGGTAAAATAAATTTTTTTAAAATATTATAATTGCATTATATCTTAATATCTCTTATAATATCTTGACAGTTAATATCTCTCCTAATACCTCTTATAATAATCTTTAATAATATCAAAGGAAATATCAAAACATGAGGATGTGGTCAACGTTTTTGCCAATGTAGCCAAAAAATTTGGAACATTTTTTGCATTACCTCCCTTTCTCTCATTTATTCATCCAAAAATCCATCAACAAGTTCTTACCTTACCAATTCGATTTGGTTGGAATCCTATCAGAGAGGATATTAATACTTTGAAGAAGTATTTAGGACCTGAAATAGAGAAAAGATTAAAAGATAAAGAAATTCTTGGCGATAAGTATAAGCCACCTGTAAGTATTAAAGAAACAATTAAACATGATTTAACATTATTAATTCCATTCATTATAATGATAGTTAGATGTAATTGAATATTATTTGAATGAACCTGGATATGGGACAACGGTTGTTACTGATGAATACTTAAGTTACATCACTGAAGTTTTAATGATACTTGTTTTTGGCTCCGTTCACTCTACTTCTCGTCAAATTGCTAGTGCTCTTTATGGTAAAAAAGATTTTCTTTTCAGTATTTTATATTCTTATGAATCATTTTATTTTATTTTATATTTTTATAATACATTTTTTTATAATAGATTTTGCAGGAAGACCAGAACTATGGGATGATCTTTATGAGGAACAAGTAAAAATTGATAAAGAATGCAATGGAGAATTAACACTTGAATATATTGACAGAATGGTGAAATTAGATAGTTTTATCAGAGAATCTATAAGGTCTTTTGGTGATATTGGTCTGTAAATTTTTTTGCGTTATATACAGTAAATATTAAGAATACTAAAATTTTGATAAAAAATAGCTGGCCTTATGCACAGATGCATGGACGATTCATTTACATTTAAAAATAACACGACAATTCCTAAAGGTTTTATCATTTAGAAAATACTTATAATTTGTTGTCTTCATTTAATATTATATTATTAAATTTATTTATTTTTTTTTTTTTGGATATTTAACAGATCGTATAGTCTACATTTATATAAATGATAGTCATTATGACAAAGTATATGGACCAGAACCAAGGTCATTCCTTCCTTATTACGCTTTGGACAATAAAAAACCTGCTTCATCGGTTGATAAAAATTATATTGCATTCGGTGCAGGGAAACATGCTTGTCCTGGAAGGTTTGAATTTTAAATTTATTCTTCTATTTGTATTTTTAAAATTTTCAAAAAACTAAACATACCTTATATTCTTTAAACAGATTTCTTGCTGTTAATGAAATTAAAATTTGTATGCATAAATTAATCTTGAATTATCATCTTAAGAAGGAAAGTGGAAAAGTAGATGAAAAAAAATATATTGGACCATTTGTTGTACTGCCAAGTACTGGAATAGTTTTTGAGAATAGAAGAAAATAAATAATTATCTTTATTAATATAATCAATTTTTTTTAGCGATTTTTAATAAAATTTAATTAATGTATTTTAAATTTATTTTAAAAAAAACTTTTATATAACAATAGTATATAATTTTTTTTACTTTTAAAAACTCACATTATATACAATAAAATAAAAAAAATTTCAACTCTAAATTTTCGAAAATAAATAAATTAAAAATAATTAATGTTTTCACTAAAAAAAATCTATTTAAAATTAAATTATTATACTTACATTTGTAAAAACTTTGATGAAAATCAATTAGGATAACCATGAGTTTTGTTACTGCCTTTACTCTGTTTTCCATATTGTTAACTAATTTTTGGGAAATGTCATTTCCAATTTGTAACCAACACTCCTGTAAAAATAATTCCAATTCTCTCAAATTTTTTAGATTTTCTTTTTTAGCTCAAATACATCATTCAAGTTCATCCCATAGGTGTTCGATTGGGTTTAAGCTAGTTGACTGTCCCAGTCATAGAAGAAGAGAAATTTCCATTTGTTACATAAAATTTCGTGTTGCGACACTAGTATGAATTGGTGCTTTATCTTTTTGAAAAAGATACTTCCCATTATTCCCTTCAAATTCTTCCAAAATGGTACCAAATGATAGCCTATGATCTCTTCTATATACCTGTAACTATTTAATCCACCCATCAATTCTATTTAAAGGACCTAACCCAACCAAGAAAAACACCTTCACCCCCATGCTTTATGGTTGGAACAAGGCAATCAATGTCATATTTTTCTTTTTGAAATTGCCATACATGATACATGAATTTTGACATCATTTCTAAGTCACCTTTTTCCAATTATAATTGTTCACATATTCTTTCACGTGTTCATAAAAACTCTTCCCGTCGATCACTTGTACCAAATATTCCCACAGTAGAGAAATACGATTTTTCACTGTAGCTACATATAAAACTTAGTTATTTTCCTATCTTTTTTACTCGTATGGGTAAGAAAAAACATAAATACAATACCAGAAGTGTTTCTGGTCAACAAGATGATAAC